AAAACCGCAAATCTCTTAATTTATCTATTACTCATTTTATTATTGATAAATTTATGACAAAAAGCATAACATTTTATGACTATATGAGCTATTTCTATTGTCAAAATATTATAAAATTATTAATAAAATTGTTAAAATTCATAGAAAATGAAAAAAAAAGAAAAAAAATAAAGGAAATAGCTAGGCGCCTGCCTAGGCGCTAGGCGGCCAGTCACCGCCTGACTAGCACTTAGCGCCTTTTAGAACACTGAATGAGTGCAAACAGATATTTATAATAAATTTATTGTCCATCTTTGATTTTATGAAAATATTTGTAACTCAACTCTTACCACATAAACCTCTTACTACGTATATTGCAATACTGTGCTTGGTATAGTGATTTTTTCCTTGATTTTCGTTCATATGCAATTATGCATTCACCATGCTGATTTATTTATGTGGTATCTATACAGGCGCTTGATACATTCAATGCAGCAATTGTTTCTCCAATTTATTATGTATTATTCACCACCCTGACCATCGCTGCTAGTGCAATAATGTTCAAGGTAGTGTAACTTTTTGCAGTTGTTCAAAATTATAGTTCTGTATGATTCCAGAGATATGAATTAGTATTCATCTGTTCTTTTAATTTAATCTGCAGGATTGGGCAGGACAAGATGTTAGCAGCATAGTATCTGAGTTATGTGGATTTGGGACTGTACTTTGTGGAACAATCATACTTCATGTTGCTAAAGAACAGGAACCAACAAATGCAGCGGGTACACCGTCATTTCATACCATGTTACTCTAATAAGTTCATCATCATAGGTAATATAATTGATAAACTCCGTGCAGGAAGCATAATTTGGTATGATGAACATATAAAGGATGTGGACGATGCACACTATATTACACTACACAGCTCCAACCATTTCACCTGACCTTATTTATGGACATGGTTGTGGGAATCTCGTTTCCCTTTACAATGTGATTGCGCACACTAAAGGTAGGACAAATGTAGTTTTCTGAACTCGATACACGTTATCCAAAGTCCTGATTTGTGTGCAGGAGGGTGCTCTGGAATAGGTCTTGTGGATACTGAAAATTGTTTGAGGTTCTGTTCAGAATTAAACTCTGGCATAATGAACTTTGTCCAATTTAAGCTTATTTTGTACTAGTAACGTGTTAGCCATTTTATCATCCATTGTTTATAAGCTTCATTTTTGTACATGAAACTATGAAAGTGCCTCACACTCATGTTTAAATACTTGTTCAGTTTAAGTTTTGCAATGGCTCTGTAAAATATTTTAAAGCCCGTGGTTGTATAGATTCTTCCAGGGAAATGCCAAAAAAATACTTTTATACACCAACTCGCAGACGAGAGATGCACAGGCCAAAACGTTGTCACAGCCGTTAGATGCAAAAAGCCGGAGGTGGGCCAACCTAGGCCATGGCCCACCCCAAATTTTAAAAATGGCTTAATTTTTAAGGTAAAAAAATTTTGTGTAAATTTTTTTTTTCTAAAATTATTTTGGAAAAATTCACATGAATAATTCGAACTATTGATGATCTTCTTCTATTAATCTGAAATATGGATTATTCCAAAATAATCCAAATAATATATGGTATCTTCTAAAAACGAGCTAGTGACCTGAATTAACAATTTTGGCCGGTCACCCAACCACGTGGCGGATTTTAATTGGACTCCTTTATGTTTTCTATTTTCCTTTTATTTCTTTTCCTTTATCTTTCCTTTTATTTTTTCTTTTCTCCCTTTTCTTTCTCCGATCCTCTTCTCAGGCAACTTTGTCTAGACCGTTTTCTTTTTGTTTATTCCTCTTAGTCCATATTTTTCTTCTACTTCTTTTTACGCTCTCTTTCTGTTTCATCTTCCGGGTATTCTTCATACGGTCGTTTGAGAAGACGTTGCTTCTTCCTTGTTGCAGTTACATCCCCGCCATCAAGACCACTGTAGATTTTGAACAGCCGATTGGCTTTCTAACGGCTCTTTGATGACGGTTATCCGTCCGTCTTCATTGTCGCCATCAGAGTTGTTCTTCGACATCGGTCCTCCGTCCATGCCAAGTGTTCTTCGTAGGCCGTAGCCATCCGTCCATTCATCCCAGCTGGTCCAGTCTCCATCGTCCGTCGTCCATCATTCAAGTTTCATCATATTTGAGTTGGATTGACGAAATCAAACTTTTCAAATTTGAAATTGAAAGAATCAATTACAAATTTGAGGTGGAAACTTGAGAACGAAATTGAAGGTGGGAAGGAGATTTGGTTATGGGATGGAGGAGGAGAGAAAAGAAAGAAAAAAGAGAAAGTGAGAAGACCGGCTGTTATAGACAAAGGAAGAAGAATAGCTGGGAAAGATGATGAACCAGACTTTTGACCCTTTTTCCTTCTTTTAATTCTTTTACCGGTTGAGCAAGTCACAAGTAACCTAGACTAATTTGGGAAGGCTGCTAGTATAATTGAGATTATTTTAGAATTACACATAATTGGGATTAACATTAGAATACCTCTAATAGAAGGGATTATTCTTGTGAATTTTTCCAAATTTTTTTTGTACCGGCCCAGTGCTCTGGCTCCGCCCCTGTGCACAATCAATTGGTTAACAGAGATTTTTGTGTGCAGTGACGTAAGATGACTACAATAACCTAGCGAATTGTTTGAGCAGTTCAATTTACCCCTCTCAAGGTTTGAGGTGAATTTTTGAGAGCTCTAAGATTAATTCGCCAAAATGAGGATCAATTGGTGGTAAAAAAGAGAGTAGATTTCGATCGATCTATATCCATAAATAAAAAGGCTTACCATATGTACTTTGATTTTTTTTTAAGTGAGAGTTAAAGTTGATATTAGTCAAGGTAAGAGTTGTTAATACTCCATCCATCCTGAAAAGGTTCGTCAAATTGACTTTTATTTGTCAATGACAATCAACTTTGACTAATGATATTATCTAATACAAAATGTTTAGAGTATGAAAATTATATCAAAATGTTCCTTATTCAAAATATTTACATAAAAGTATAAATTTATAAATTCTATACAAATATAATAATTAAAATCATTGTCCACATTGATTGTCATTAACCAAGAAAAGTCAATATGACGAACCTTTTCGGGACGGAGGTAGTATTAGTCAAAGTCATAGTTAAAAGGAAAAATTGAAAATAATAATCTCAACTATTGCCGGTTCGCTAACAATAATCCCAACTATTGATTATTTTTGTATAATCCCAACTATATGGACCGTCCGCCAATAATGATCCATGACCACATATTACCTGCTCCAACAAGTGAATTTTTAATAGAAATTAAATGTAAAAATTAAAATTTGGCATTATTTATAGGGATTACCTGCTATATCTTTTTAGAAACTATATGAATTTATTTACAGTCGGTCATGTCGGACCATTATTGACGGAAGGTCCCTAAAGTTGAGATTATTCTGAAATAATCGATAGTAGAGATTATTATAAGCGGAACACCAAAGGGATCATTACAATCAATTTTTCCTAGTTAAAATTGATATTAGTCCATGTAAGAGTCAAAATGATAATTGATATTAGTAAAGTTATTTTCACTGAAAATGGGCATAACTTGTATTAAAAAAAAATAAAGTGAGATACTACTAAAATATCTAATATTCAAGTGGACCAATCTTTGCACTTTAAATCTACCCAAGTCATAAAGGAAGTGAATTGTGCAGTCATCCGAATGCATATGTAAAAATTAGCTTTTGCTGAATATTGATCAATTAGTGACATGGAGAGTTAAACTAAGAATTTAAGGATATTAAGTACAAATAATTTTGAGAACATAATTGATTGTTCTTGGGAAAATTACCCAAAATAGGAGCAAATGACATTTGAAATTTTAAAAAACAGAACTAATATGTTTTTCTTCTCGAAATAGAAATTATCACTGTCATGTATGAAAAATACTGTCATGATTGAAAAATACTGTCATTAATTATAATAAGTACTGTCGTGTTAAATGCACTGTACTGCAACTATTTAGCAGTCACGACTACAAGATGACAGTAAATAATAGCATGTAAATCCAATTTCAAAAATAAAAATAAAAATAAAGTACTAACTTCCATCTTTTGAAGGGTCACTGTTAGCGGATAAGACAAAACTAATGGAATCACAATTCGTATTGAATTGGAAATTTTATCAACACAATTCGTATAGGATACCATTTTCATCTTATCGGCTACATAACCCCAAAACCTATTCAAAAGTGCTATTCTACTCCGCAGAGTTTACCAGAGAACAGAAGAATCATGGCGACGACTGCGAGCGTGTGGAGTAAGCCTGGAGCCTGGGCCTTGGATTCCGAGGAGAACGAATCTGAGCTTCAGCAGTTAGTTAATGGAGACAAACAATCGAAAGGCGGCGTTGGCGGCGGCGAAGAGACCCTTTCCGATTTCCCTTCTTTGGCAACTGCCGCATCCACCAAGCCTAAGAAGAAGAAAGCTCAACCCTTATCTTTGCAGGAGTTTTCCAATTACGCATCCGCTAGGCAGACTCCGTCGCTGGATACGGTTTCCCTCCCAACAGGCCCCCGCGAGCGAACTGCTGAAGAACTTGACCGCTCCCGGCTTGGCGGTGGGTTTAGATCTTACGGTTCTTCCTACGACAGGCCTGCTCGTGACGATTCTCGCCGACAAGCTCCTCGCGAGTTCACGCCGTCTCGTGCTGACGAGACTGATGATTGGGGAGCGTCAAAGAAATTTTCGCAGGGAAACGGGTTTGAGAAGAGGGAGAGGGGGGAGAGGGGAGGGTTCTTCTCTGATTCGCAATCTCGCGCTGACGAGACTGATGATTGGGGAGCATCGAAGAAATTTTCACATGGAAACGGTTTTGAGAAGAGGGAAAGAGGGGATAGGGTAGGGTTTTTCTCTGATTCGCAATCTCGCGCCGACGGGTCTGATAATTGGGGGGCGAATAAAGCGTTTATTCCCTCCGAGGGTGGTCGGAGGGGGGGTGAGAGGAGAGGAGGGTTTGAACCAAACGGGGGTGGTTCTGATTCAGATAACTGGGCAAGGAAGAAGGAAGACGATCAACCGCGGAAGTTCAGCTCAGATTCAGAGGGTTGGGGGAGAAACAGAGATGAAGGAAGTGGCAACAGTGGCAGACCAAGGTTGAATTTGAAGCCTAGGACAATTCCTTTAGGTGAAGGGCATCAAAACGGAGATGGAAGTCCAGGGAAGCCGAAAGGGTCGAATCCATTCGGTGAAGCTAGGCCAAGAGAAGAAGTTCTGAAGGAGAAGGGGCAGGACTGGAAGGAAATCGATCAGAAGCTGGAGTCCCTAAAGATGAAGGATGTTGGGAAGAACAGCTTCGGGAGCAGTAATGGGAGAAATTCACCCGAGGACAGCACAGAAAAGAGTTGGAGGAAGTTAGAAGGGAATGACTCCAGGTTGGTGAAATAGGCGTTCCTTGTTTATTCTTCTAGCACTGACAATCCAGTTTTCTGAATGTGTCATTGTGACCTCCTATTAGCTATTAGGTTTGGTTCCATTTGTAAATGCATGGACATACACTAGTAGTAGTTGATGCTTATGAGTGATCATCATGTGGGACAATGTAGCTTGGTTTTTACTTACAAGTATTTGTGGGCGTAATGGACATTTAGTTGTTCAAGATTGGAGGGGTTCCATTATTTTAAGTGTTTTTTTTTCTAATAATCTGTAATTGCTTGTCATATAAATGCTGCTGCCCTAGATTGCCCAATGCCTAGAATGGTAATGGCCCGTATGGGAACACCAAAAACATGTTAGTGAATTGTATTTTTGGTCTTTTTACTGTGACAGTATTTTGGGGTAAGTTTTGGACTTCTTTGAGCTATCAAAATTTGTTAAATGGAGAATTTGGGGATCATAAGTGATAGTGCATCTTATTAATAAACGAATATATTAGTTTTCTTTTGCTAGTTAAAACATTGATAAACAAATTTTGGCTATATACATGGCACTATTAAGTATACTCCAATACTAGATTGTTTGGTTTAAATGAACTTTCTAAAAGGTATACACTCTGCAGAAAGATTGGTCTTTTCAAGCTATTTGTTTATTTATTATTTACCACTCAAATACATGAAAGAAACAGGCCTCAAAGTTTTGGAAAAGTACACTTTATATGAATTATGAAATATATCTCTAAACAAAACAGCTTCAATTACAGTGAAACTAGCGTTATAGCACAATTCATTTTGTTGTACCCAAAAAGTGCCTTTGAGTCGCAATATCTCATCCCATTCTCGTTGGAACTTTGGGGGGAAAGCTTCCTGCTTACACACTTGTTTTTGCTCTTAAAACTTTCTTTACATCTATTTTCTTAATCCTAATAGCTTTATCTAATTGCAGACCAGAGGAAACCGAGAAATCTATGGAAGAGTACAGAGATGGAGATTGCAATGATGTGGAACCTCAGCAAGATAAAAACTAATGCTACACTTCTGCAGAAAGAGTTTTGACCTATTGGGCTACGAAACATTACACTAGTTTCTTAGTACCTCTTTTTTATTATTATTTCTGGTAATAATGTGTAATTTCTTTCATTATAAATGTGAAAACATTTATCTGATGAGTGCAGTTTTGTTCTGCTGAGAGTGTAGTTGATTGATTTACATTGTATTATTAGCAAGAACTGGAATAAAAGTCGTTTGTCTTCTTACATATATCAGCTTTGTTGTTTGTGCTTAGAATAGCTTGTTTTAGCTAAAGTGAAACAAATCCATGAGTATTTGGCTGGTGTATTCTCGCATGTCCTCCTAGCTCATCCACTGAAAAGAATTGGGTTCCATTACCAATTTCCTAACTTGTTAAAATTAGGGTGGTTCTACCCAAGAGGAATTGTAACTAGACTGGGTCCTCCCCTAGTGATGGCTTTGGGATTGTGATAATAATCCCTATTCGTCATGATAAACCAGCTCAAAGAAGGGAATGGAAATCTCCCTTCGTTTTACATATGAGTCATTTTCTTCCTCTGGCTTTAATTTATTGCCAATTAGGAAGGGAAGGTTCCTTCTGATTACTGTACAGATTTAGAAGGGAGCTGGTGAAGTGCATTAAGTTCAACCATGCCCTCGTGGCAAACTGCATAGTACTCCGTATAAAATAAAGCTGGAAGTTGATGATTAAACGGAAGTATTAGAACGGCAGTGTGAATGAGTACTTTCCGTACCATGTCAGCAGGAGGCTCATAAATAAATGCGCCATTGGAGACAGTTGATTGTTGTAATGCCACACCTCACCTATTCCTAATAAATTCTTCAACCATTCTTCCTCTTATTATGTTCACATTCAAGATTTGAACTTTACAGCTTCTGCTACTCTTCCCAGCTTTATTTAACCCTGCCCATAACTCTCCCTCCAGTTCTGCACCATTCCTATTTCCTCCTCATGGATTGGCATTTCAAGCTTTCCTTTGCAGCATTCCTGGTCTTAGCTCCCACCATTTGTACACTGACACATGGGCTAACCATCATCTCTGGAACGGTCTTCTGCGACCAATGTAAAGATGGCCAGATTTCTCTCTTCGATTATCCCGTTTCCGGTAATAATTAAAGAATGCATCTTTGTTTTGTTTTCTTAATAAAATTGAGTGGTTCTTGATAATGACTTAGGACATTTGTGGTGCAGGGGTAAAGGTTGCAATGGCGTGTCCTGATGGGAACGGGCAATTGACAACCAGGGGAGAGGAAACCACGAATTGGTTAGGCACTTTCAACATGAGGTTTGATGAAACCTCAGATTTGAGCAATTGTTTTGCCCAGGTTTCGGGAAGTGGTCAAGCATCAGGAGGAGCCTGTGGGGCAGTGAGCGGTCCTGCTAGACCTCTCAAACTAATGTATAACATGTTTGGTATGGCAATGTATGCTGTAGACACTCTGATTTCCCAGCCTGCACAGCCAATGTCCTTTTGCCCATCTTCTTCCGTGCCTGTGCCTGTGCCCGTGCCCGCGCTCGTACCTGTTACTCCACCACCCAAGGTGCCTTCTCCATCAGCATTCGTACCTGTTACTCCACCACCCAAGGTGCCTTCTCCACCAGCATTCGTACCTGTTACTCCACCACCCAAGGTGCCTTCTCCACCAGCATTGCCCATCTTACCTCCAATGCCTCCGTTTCCATTTCTTGAAGCTTCCGCCTGTCCATACGGGTAAGGTTGATCATGAGTTATTACAATTACAGTTTGAACTTGACAAATAGTTCTTTCTAGGTTATCTTTGCTTTGTCCGGATAACTGGCTGAAAAGGTATCTAGGAATTCATCTAAGTGCATTGTAAAAAAAATGAAATTAAAAGTATTGTCACTTCGATGAGTAGCCTAAAATCATATATGTTGACATATACTCCCATGGCCCGACACGCAATCATGAATTTGGATTAACTATGATACTACTCCATATATTAAGACTTGAGGTTGCATTACATATGATACTCTGATTCGTCATTTAGTATTAAGCCAAAGTGAAACAAATTCTTTAACGTCTAGCTAAATCCTAATCATGATTCTTCATGTGTGCTGGTGGGGATGTGTACGTGCAGAAAATGGATGATGCCTGAATACAGATGCTACTGGAAGGTTGTAAGTCCAGATACAAAAGTAGGAGTCATTTTCGGGCTGCTAGCGGCAAGAAAATATGGAATGGAGATGACGCTGTGGGAAGGGTTGAACGGAAGAGGGGAGGCCTACAAGACATTGCTGAGGGAAGGCACAACTGCACTCCTCAACTCCTACAATTCAGTGCAGTACCCTTACAACCCTCTGGGAGTTGTGGAACGCATGAATTGGGCGTTGATGGCGGGGTCCACTCGCCAAGTCCTCCACACCGCTCTCAGTTTCATGAAGGCTAACTATGGATTTGGCCACCCTGCATCTACCTGCAGATTCACTTCTTGCACCCCTAATTGATCATGATAATTGTTTTTTCTATTGTGATATTATTATTATTATTATCACTCATTCACTCAGATATACCATTTCTCAGCTCCTTCATATTGCTTATGTTTGTTACTAGTACTATATGGTTGATGAATGTGAGCAGAAATACGTCATTTATAGTCTATAGAATGTTATGTAAAGGCAGGTCCCAACTCCTATTGTCTTTCAGTGTATCCCTACGGAGTGCTCCGTATTATATTTACTGTATGGGGTTAGCATTTTCCCATACGTGAGATGTCACAATAATATATTTCCACTTTTGTTCTTACCCACGGGTTCATTCGAGGTTTTCACTTGAGCTGATATTTTTTCTGATTTGGGATAGCATGATCTACTATGATCTGTTTAATTTTGATCTAACCTTTTCAAGTTAGATCTAGTCTCAATCGATCTAGTATGGTAAGATGTATGTTTGACTATTATTTGGTCCAAGTGATATAATGTGATCCTTTTAAGCCTAATCAAGTCTAGTCTAATTGGTCTTAAAATAGTCCAAGTGAGGACATCCAAATTATAATATGGTTGATTGCACATTTTTGCCCCAAACATGATGAGAGAGTCTAGGAGTGAGCAATACTACCACTATCTTACCTTTGTGTATACAACCCACGATGGGTCTCATTCCCCTAGGCATGGACCTGTTCCGGTTTGGGCCCGGTTCGGGTCTGGGCCCGGCCGGGCCTCGGTTCAAGAAGGGGAGGCCCGGAACCGGCCCGGGTAACCCCTGGGTCCGGGCCGGGCCTCGGTTCTATTAATTTTTTTTTTTTGGCTTTTCCCAGTTAACCCCCAACCCTCCCCCTCACCCCCAAACCTTCCCCACCACCAAAGAAGCTATTATTCCCATTAACTATATGTCTATATGCACATTCAAGCACATGATCAAGAGTCTATTTATATGGTATATCCATACCGTTTCATATAATATAAACACTTTAGTCTTCTTTTATCTATTTTCTCGTATTATTAAAGAATCCGTTTAACATTGCTTTTATTCACTAACATTGCTTTTATAATACGTAAATTTTGTCTCACTTATGTTATTGAATACGTAGTATGATATACTCTATTACCGAACACAATTGTTTCACACTTCTTTTATAATTAATTGTCGGTCACCATAGATGTCGAAACACTCAATTATAGTTATTTGTTGATAATAAATATATTAGATTTATGTGGTACTTATTTCGCAACAAGCTTATTCAATGGATTCTTTATTTCCTATAAAGAAAGGGGTGTCATATATAAAAGTGAAACATGATCAAACCGTCAAAGTTCCACTCGAATTGAATTGCAAATTTTGACCGGCACAAGTATTAAGAAATACTACCTCCGTCCCTCTTATATTGGGTCGGAAGAGAGTGACACGATTATTAAAAAAAGTGGGGTTGTGTGGTTGTGTGGTTGATATTAATTGATAAAGTAAGAATAAAGTAAGAATGATTTAGAAGCACACAAACTTTACCAAATATGGTATGAGACAATTTTGTGGGACTTCCCGAAAAGGTAAAATGGGACAATATAAGAGGGACGAAGGGAGTAACAATAAATGATGCTTGCTTTTTACACTTTTGTCATCGTTCTAAAAGTAGATGTCTTTAAGTTAATGGGGAAAAAGTAAAAGTAAGGATAAATTTGCCACTTCATTCTTATTTACATACCTAAAATAGAAAGTGGAAAACCATTTTGGGACAACCAAAAAAGGAAATTTTTCAAATCAAATTGGGACGGGGGGAGTATTTTTAAAATATGACTTCTGTAGTATTAGTAGAAGAATAAAAGCATTTGAATTTGTTTCTTTTAAGAGTGAAGGTGTCCTTTTTGTGGAAAAATAATCTCAGCCCTATTTGAAAATGTGATATAGTTTAATTTTATGTGGGGAATTTAATATTCCAACAATATATGATAAAAGTCACACTCCGAATTAAGTAAATAAATATAAGCACTTTTCTATTAAAAGGAGATTAATTCCTAGACCATCAAAAAATGAGTGAACAATAGTGTTGTTAACTATTTATCAATCCACAAAAACCATCAAAAGCCATTGGGTGGAGAAATCATTGGGACTTTATAACTACCTCTAACTCTTGCTTGATATAAAGGAGACTCCTAGAGGCTAGAGAGAATGATAAACAATTAAATATTCATTAAGAAAAAAAAAGAGAAAAAGATGGCTATGGAAAAATTAATTTCGTGTCTAATTTTATTGGCGTTGACCGCATTTTCAGGAGGGCATGCTGACCAAGGAAAAGAGTCATGGGCCAAAAAACTTAGAAAAGGGCACCAAGCAGTAACCACTCTGCAATTTTACTTCCACGACAAACTGAGTGGATCAAGCCCAAGTGCGGTCCGGATTGTTGAGCCCACAAGTGCCAGCAAATCTCCGACCCGCTTCGGAGTGGTGATGATGGCCGATGATCCATTAACAATTGGGCCTGATCCAAAATCTACAGAAGTTGGACGAGCCCGTGGGCTGTATGGATCAGCTGGGCAGAAGGACCTGGGCCTTATCATGGCCATGAGTTATAGCTTTACACACGGCGAATACAACGGAAGTTCTTTCAGCCTTCTGAGCATCAACCATGCTATGAACCCGGTTCGCGAATTGGCCGTGGTCGGTGGGACCGGTCAATTCCGGCTGGCCCGTGGGTACGCGCTGGCCCACACGCATTCCTTGGATGTTCCAACCGGAGATGCCATCATTGGTTACAACGTCACCCTTATTACAAACAATTGAATATCTTCTCTTAATTCATTTTAAAATGTTGGATTAATCGATCATTGTGGATAAGGTCTAATAATGCTTAGCTTATTACCACGTAGAATTGTTAGAGTTGTTTAATCGGTACAGTTTTTATAATTATTTGTTTTGCAGGATTTCTATTTGTCATTATTGTATTCTTAAAGCGACAATTATTAGCAATGAAGCGACAATTTTGATGAAGATGTGAATCATAAAGCAAATTCAATGCCTTTAGGCATTTGGGCATTTCTAATTCCAGTCTCTATAATTTTATGGTACTCAATATTAAAATATAATATTCGGCATTCCTAATTTCAGTCTATAATTTTGGGCATTTCTAATTGTTAGAAGTGGCTGTACTTGATACTATTTCCGTCACGTTGTAAGGTTCCCATAGCAAAACGGCACGGTTATTTAGAATATTATTAAATAAAGTACTTCAGGTATATTTTGAGAAATAATTTTAATAGGTATGTATTATAATGTAGTTAGTATTGATAATTGTGATGTTATAAATATATTGTTTATAACTTTTAATGATCAATTTGTCACTTAAGATTGTTAAATGTTTCCTAAAATGGAAATGAGAACCTTTATATGGGACGTCCAAAAAAGGAAAGTGAGAACCTTCTAATGGGACGGAGGGAGTATTAAAATATAAAGGTGTAAATATGTGGTTGGTCCGAATATCACTCCTAGTCACATTTAAAATACGATTTTCTAAAAGTTTATTATTTACCATTATCACAGTAACTGAGTTATAGAAGGTGGTTTGTTGACAAGTCCTCCTTTTTGTATTTGAGACTATTTTTCACTTCCTTCCATGAAGGTGTTAATTTGTTGATTATAGAACCGACCGAAAATGTTTCATTAACATGTATGCCGTGAATCAAAAGTTGATCATACAAACGTTGAATTTCATGAAATTGCTCTATGACCAGACGAGTATTCACCATTTTGTAACTATTAAAGTTACTAATGACAAATTTCTTACTTGAAGCATCCTCGGTCATGTACTTAGATTTTAGGGATTCCCACAACGTTTAAACATATTCAACATTTTGATGCACATCAAAAAGAGAGTCGCACATACCATTCATTATATGTCCACGGCAAATATAGTCATCATTGTCCCACTTTATGCGGCGACGGCTTGTTTTTAAAGTCTCATTTTCCTCTTGCTCGGACGGCCTCAAGGTGCTTAACACATAGATCATTTCAAAGTAGTGAGCAGAAAATGCATCTTTTTCTCCCACCTTCGAAACTCAACCTTCAAACTTTTCCAATTTTTGAAAATTGGTGTTGATATTGCGTTGAGTAGCCGCTATATTTTCAGGGTAGTAAACTTTTAGATTGTTAGAATTGGCGGTACTTAATAGTAAAATATAAGGGTGTATTAATATGGCTGGACCGGATATAACTTCTATTCACGTATAAAATATGTTTTCCTAAAAGTTTACTATCTACCATTATCACAGTAACCGGGTTACAAGATACAACTTTTGGGATAAAAAGAATGTGTGTTATGTATTTTAACTACTGATAAAATGACACCGAACAAGTGATTTGTATATAAAGTAATCTTAGTATTCTATCACTATTACTGTGTCTTCTCTATAAACATCAATAAGAATATTGTCTTTTCATTTTCATTTACCCCAGTGCCGCAAAGGCTCCCACCTACGGTGAGGTAAGGGGGGTCGGATGTACGTAGTCTTACCCCTGTACTAAAGCACAGAGAGACTGTTTCCGGATGACCCATAGTGAAAATCGCGTCCAAAATTGCATGGACTGACTATTGCTCCATAATAAAGAAGCGCAGATATTTTAGTGAATCATTTTGCTTTATTCCATCATAATCTCAAGCCAAAAAATAATGAATCTTTGGTTCCATTGCAAATGATGGAAAAATCAATAAGAATATTGTAAATATAAAAAATTGATTAAGAAATAATGACTTAATTCAACTAAATGCATGATATATACTATCATTAAATGACTCATCCTGATTTACTTTCGTGGTTTACAAAAAGGTGACAACTCCGATACCCATTTAAAAAATGGGGTACTGTACCTATCATTCACTTGAGTGATCCACATCATTATATTATTTTTAATTTAGATTTAAATAATTCAACTGCAAGACTCTCATTGGTCCATGTGGACAAAGGTATGATACATTATGGGTACCATAGAATCTACCTTACAAAAATGTGTAAACTATTAAAAAAGAACATTTACTTTCCTGGTGAAGTTTTATGGGTGCGTAATCTTTTACATGAACTTGGCGTCTGCTTGCCAACTATTCTTACAGTGTATTGTGATAATCAGAGCTACATATGTATTTGTATGTGCCAATCCAGTCTTTCACTCTTGCATGAAACACCTTGCCTTAGGTTTTTTCTTTGTTCGAGAGCCCATTGCCCACAAGCAACTTAAGGGTTTGTCACATATCTACCAAGCTTCAAATTGGAGATGCTCTTACTAAACCATTGGTGACTTCATTATTTTAGCACTTTCGGACCAAGCTGGGAGTTTCTGACGGAACATTCATCTTGCGGGTGGCGTATTACGACATGATCATTTTTATATTATTTGTACAATTAATTGATTATTTAATTTGTATTCAGATAATAGTGTGTAACTAATATATATTTATACTACTGCACACTAGTCTTAGGCAGTTAGTTAGCCAAGTGATCTATCTCATCACTATGGCTTCATGTATATATACATGTACAGATGCATGACTAAACATACTTCAATATATTACATTTGTTTGCTTCTACAGCCACTGGAGGGGTCACAAGAAACGAGAGCTTCTCGAAGGGATTCTCATACGGCGGAGTCGGCACCGGAAGCGACGCCAGAGCTGAGAGAAGCCAGACCAAGGGAATCACTGACACCGATGCTTCATGATCTTAACTCTTAAGAGAGAAGTCAGAACGTCTCTCTAATGTGGGGCGTCTACCATTGCTTATTTTAATGGGAGAATTTTAGTTTCCACCCATGTTTTGAGTGATATTTTATTTTACATCCAATTTTTAAAATCATTAATCGATGCATCCCATAGTCCAAAAATTGTAAAGGAGTAGGGTGCAAAGTCAAATGATTTTATAGTGAATTGGGATGCATACATTAACGATTTTGAAAATATGGTGCAAAGTCTAATATCACTCAAAACATGGGGTGCAAAGTCAAATTCTCCCTATTTTAGTTCTAATGTCCTTACTTTACCAGATAAAAATAGCTTATTCTAAAATTATACGGAGTAATTCTCTGTTGATTTATTTATATTGATGTTAAATTTGAAAAAGTGACTTGTAGATATATGTTTTTGGGTATGAAATGTGTCCTATGAAATTGAGTTAAAAGGGGCAAACTATACATTTTAATTTTAATTATTTTCATAATTTAATTTTAATGTTTTTTCAAATTCGAATATTCAAATAAGATTCGAATATATTCAGATGCACCTAATGAATGGAATATGAATATAAATTAGGACTCGAATATTAAACGAATACGAATTTATGATAATTATACGAATACAAATAATAATGCCAAGTATTCGATTTGATTCTTTTACAACCCTAGGTCAAACATATGAACCACTGAAATAGAACTACCCAACCATGGTATTTCATTGTCACGTTGAGTTTATTCTTACCCCTTATCGTTTATTTTAAATTTACTTGCAACTTTCCATATGATATACATTTTCCTTTTTTCTGCGGACTATCATTATGATGTAGTCAAAGAACAATATAAGCTCTGCTGTTTTTATTTCATTGTTACAATTTTTTTCTTTTTTACAAAAATGTTTTAGATTTAATTTTTTCATAATTCAGCGGATTTAGACAATTCAGTCGAGTCATATTTTCATTAAATTGAGTCGATTTAGTTAGAAAAAAAGAGTAATAAGAAAGGCAAAGAGAAAATTCTAATTTCTAAAGTCTTAGCTTATATGGAGTACTGCGTACGTACATTGTATATATATAAGAAAGTCGTAGAACATTCTAAAGTCATCAATATAATTCTAAAGTCTTATTATATGGAGTACTACGTACGTACATAGTATAAGAAAGTCGTAGAACATTCTAAAGTCGTCGATATTAAAGATGATTTTTTTTCTTTCAAAAAAAAAAAAAAACAACCAATATTATTCAATTACTGCCATAGATGTAAATTCTCATTTACATAGTCACACGTAGTAAGTCGTTCAATTTTCCACTGGATTTGCCCGCCAGCGAAGAACGAGAGTATGACAATTGCGTGATTCGGCATCTGGTTTGGCTCCCTCCGTCCCGAATTGAGTGACAAACTTTGACCGACATAAGGATTAAGAAATGAAAATAAATGATGATTGCTTTTTACACTTTTGTCCATCTTTCTAAAAGTAGATGTCTTTAAGTTAATGGTGAAAAGTAAAAGTAAGGATAAATTTGTCACTTTATTTTTATTTACATACCTAAAATAGAAAGTGGAAAACCATTTTGGGACAACCAAAAAGGAAATTTTGCAAATGAAATTGGGACGGAGGGAGTATGTCATTTTAATCTGAGAAAAGAGGAAAATAAGCCCTCGAACTAACCGAAAAAGTGCAAATCACCCCTTTTATATGAGTTTCTGTCCAGCCGTCGCCATTTGGGATGGTTCCTGGTAGAATTTTTTGATGAATATTTTTGAGCATCTTCTTCATTAACTCTAGTTTATCCATACCAAATTTCATCTAAAAATGCAATCGGGAAGACAGTCAAATAAATGTTTGAAGATAACTGCGCAGTTAAACATCGCATTATATTTCAGAAAATCATTTGTCTGCCTTCCCGGTTGAATTTTTAGCTGAAATTTGGTATGGGTAAACTAGACTTAATGAAGAAGATGCTTAAAAAAATTAATCAAAATTTTTTACCGGTAACCATCCCAAATAGCAACGTCCGGACAGAGTCTCCTATAAAAGGAATGATTTGCACTTTTACGGTTAGTTCGAGGGCTTATTTGCACCTTTTCCCTTTTAATTTTTATGTCCTAAACATTAAGATTGAGACCCCGTTTGGTAATCTTATTTTCCGGTTTATCATGTTTATCAACTAACTTGTTCACCAAATACGTAATCATTGATTTCGCACGCTGAATTGTGTAATAATAATAAAAGTTAGGTTGAAGTTATTTTTCTGATTGTATTTGCTGAAGTTACGAGAGTCATTTTAGCTCTTTACATATACTTTTTTGTTTTTACAGCAAAATATAAATATTTTCTTTTTACATTATAAATAGACATCTATACTTTATATTATGAACTTATATATTATTTTATATTTCTATTTTCTATTTCTTAACTTGTTATTTTTTAATAGCAATTTTGACACTTTTTAACGGTTGAGGGGGTAAATTATATTGAAC